TATCCAGGACCTTCTAATGTGATCCCTTTCAGAGCAGTTGATAGCCAGACACTATCTAGTTCTGGTCTCAGGGTTGTGAAAACTGATATCCTTCCATGTAGTCCATGAGTCCATTGGACTAATTGTTTCCATGTATCTTTGATTTTCAGTACTCTTCTTTCTTCTGAACAAGGAGAGACCAACAGTTGCATCTTAGATAGCTACTTAAGACATCACCAAAGTAGGATATGGAGCGTTGTCTTTGTGGATTATGTTATGCCTGTTGACTTTGGTGTCCCCTGAAAACTATGATCCTGAACCCCCAGGCCCAGTGACTCATTCCTTCAAAGTGCTTGCTTATGTCTAAGGTTTCATAACATTGCCCCTTGTATGTTTCACCACATTCAAGGGTATATTTGCAGCAAAGGTAAATTGTTGTTAAGTGCTGTCAAGTCGGTTCCAACCCATTGCAACCCTCTAGAGGGTTTCCAAGGAGTGACTGGTGAGCTTGAACCACCAACCTTGCAGTTTAAACTGACTTTGCAATCTAGTGCATTAACCCACAGCACCATACGCATGTATAAATATCATCTGTCAAACATATATATAGTGGGTATACTCCTACTGCAAGAGAAATCAACTTCTTAAAACTTAATCAATCAATAAATGGTAGCTGAATAGAGAAATAATATTTTGAATGTCATTCCTTTAACCCATTTTTAATTCAGTTGATTTAATATTTTTGTAAGGTAGGTAAAAAAAATACCTTTGTTGTATAAGTAAGAAAACTGAGATTATGAGGGGTTAAGAGATAGTTGTGTTGCTCTTAAGTGCCAGTGAGTCAGTTTTGACTCATAGCAACCCTAAATAGGATTTCCAAGGAGTGGCTGGTAGATTTGAACTGCTGACCTTAAGTCATGAATCCAGACTTTAACCCAACACATTTATCTAGCAACAAGCAGGATTTGTCCAACACACTACTTTATCAGTAAAGATTGTGTCTCATGCAGCTGGTAAAACACACACAGACCCCTATAACCCAGTGGGTTAGCTCTGTCTTGGCAGTGCTGGCATAAACAAGTGATATATTGAGGGAAGAACTGTTGATTATGCAAAAGCATTCAGAAGGAGAAGTGATTTGAAGTAAGTCTTGAGGAATTTATTATTTGGGTGTTTTTGGGTTTTTTTTACAAAGTGAGTTTTCTCTTTATGGAAAATATTATATAAATGAGAATTATAAATGTTGGAAATTCCGAGAGTTAATTTAAATATTTTATTTGTTTGTTTTCCACCCAGGTTTGAGAAAAGAACTTAAGAATGTGGAAGTAGGCTTTACCTCTCATGAGTTCCTCACAGAAGCACATCTGCAAATAAATCCTTTAATAAAAAGGTAATCGTAGATATTTACTATTAGAAATTTTAAAACTCTTTCCCCCCCCCCCAAATGCATATATTACAGAAACTCCTTTTACTTAACAGAAAGGCATAAATACATATCCTGTGGTCCTATAGAATAAGCAGTGCAAGATCAGGGGTTCCAACCCAATAACCGCTCATTGGAAACCCAATATAGGGCCACTATGAGATGGAACCAATTCATCAGCACTTAACAACAGCCACAGTAACTCTGGAAGCCCCTACTCATCTGTCCATTTGGTGGCGTGCATACCAGTAGGGTCGCCATGGTGGACAGGTTTTAGCAGTGCTTCTAGATTGACAGACTAGGAAGAAGGAATAGGCAATCCACTTCTGAAGGATTGATCACTGAAAATGTCATGAAAAGTAGCCAAATAATAATAATAGTTCCAGAAAAAGTCCTTCGGGTTGGAAGGCACTCAAAATACGCCTGGGGAAGAGCTGTCTCTCCTCAAAATAGTGTCTACCTTGATGTGGATGGGGCAAAGCTTTTGGCACCTTCATTTGTTAACGTGGTATTATCAAAATGAGAAGAGCTAGCTGCAAACATCCATTAACAATCAGAATGCACAATGTACAAAGTATGAATCTAGAAAAATTGGAAGTCATCCAAGATGAAATGGATTGGAAGACAACTACCTGACCAACTGACTGGAAGAGATCTGTATTTGTGCCCATTCCAAAGAGAGGTAACCCAACAGACTGTGGAAATCTTCAGACAATATCACTGATATCCCATGCAAGTAAAGTTTTACTAAAGATATTGCAAAAATGGCTACAACCATACATTGACAGAGAACTTCCAGAGGTTCAAGCCAGATTCAAAACAGGACATGGAAAGGAGTATCATTGCTGACGTCAGGTGGATCATGACAAACTATGGACGGCATTGCAAAGTATGAGTATTCTGGAACAATTGTGTTCATGAGGAACCTGTACATAGACCAAGAGGCAGTTGCTTGAACAGAATAAGGGAACACTGAATGGTTTAAAATTGGGAAAGGTGTGGCCAGCATAGTATTCTTTTACCATACATAGTCAATCTGTATGCTGAGGACATACCTGAGAAGCTGAATTATATGAAGAAAAATGTGACATCAGGGTTAGAGGAAAACTCATTAACCTATATGCAGATGATGCAACCTTGGTTACTGAAAGCTAAGAGGACTTAAAATACTTACTGATGAAGATCAAAGACCACACCCTTCCGTATAGGTTGCATCTCAATGTAAAGAAAACAAAAATCTTCACCACTTGACCAATAAATAACAAGAAGATAAATGTAGAAAAGATTAAAGTTGTCAAGACTCCATTTTCCTTGGATCAGCCAACACTCATGGAAGCAGTAGTCAAGAAATCAAACAATGTATTGCATTGGGCAAATATGCTGCACAAGACCTCTTTAAAGTGTTCAAAAGCAAAGATGTTAGATTGAGGATTAAAGTGCTCCTGATCCAATCCCTAGTATTTTCAGTAACCTCATATGCATGTGAAAGTTGAATAGTGAGTAAGGAAGACCCTAGAAGAATTGATGCATTTGAGTTATGGTGTTGGAGGAGAAAATTGAAAATACCATGGATTACCTAAAGAGCAAACAGATCTGTGTTGGAAGTATAGCTAGAGTTCTTCTTTTCATCCCTCAGACTTTGGACATATTGTCAAGAGGGACTAGTCACTGGTGAAAGGATATGTTTGGTAAAGTGGAGGGTCGGAGAAAAAGACAAAGACCCCCAAGCAAGATGAATTGGCACAGAGACAGCAGCAATGGGCTCAGGTATAGCAATGATTGTGAGGTTGGCCCAGGACCAGGCAGTATTTTGTCCTGTTGTGCAGAGGGTCGCTATGAGTCCATAGAGATTCGATGTCACCTACCACCACCACCAACCACTTAACCACAACAATCATACCAGATGAGGGGCCCTGGTGGTGCAGTTGTTTAAGCTACCAACAAGGTCAGCTTTTCAAATCCACCAATAGCTCTGTGGGAAATCAGAGTCTGCTCCCATAAAGATTTACAGTCTTGAAAACCCCAAGGAGCAATTCTACTCTGTCCTAACGGGTCTCTGTGAGTGGGAACCAACTCGACAGCACATAACAGCAACAGTGCTCCATTTCTGATGAAAAGTGATGCTTGTGTAGATGACGGTGCACAGTGGGGTCTCTTCCCAAGCACAGGTCCACATTACCACAGAGAGCACAATATGATCTAAAGCACTCACACTGGTTTTGATGAGAATGGTTCTTTCAGTCTATGACAGTACATTTAGTTTTATGACAATAGTTGAAGAATTCAATATGAGTCTGAAGCTCATAGGCCGTTGAACAAAACTGGATAATTTTTAAAAAATTCTATTAAAATAAAAAAATGGAAAGGAATGAATCAGGATTAATATATTAGGCATTCACGAGCTAAAATGGATTGGTATTTCCCTTTTGAATCAGGATTAAAGGAAGACTCATTAACAACCAGTGATATACAGATGACACAACCTTGCTTTCTGAAAGTGAAAAGTTCTTGAAGCATTTATTGATGAAGATCAAAGACCACAGCTTTCAATATGGATTGTACCTCAACATAAAATAAAAGTAATTACAATGGACCAATAAGCAAAATCATGATAAAGGAAGAAAAGATTGAAGTTAAGGAGTTCATTTTACTTGGATCCACAATCAGTTCTACAGATACAGCAAGTCTGAAAATTAAAGGATGTATTGTGCCTTGGACATATCTGCTGCTGCTGCAAAAAAAATCTTTATACAGTGTTAAAAAGCAAAGATGTCACTTTTAAGACTAAGGTCTGCCTTATCCAAGCCATACCTCACACACATGTGAAAGCTGGACAATGAATAAAGACCAAAAAAAGATAGGTGCATTTGAATTATGGGGTTGTCAAAGAATATTGAAAATCAAATGTTTTTGGATGAAGTACAGCCAGAATGCTCTTGGAAGCAAGGATGGCGTGACTTTGTCTCATGTATGTTAGACATGTTATCAACAGGGCCCAGTCTCTGGAGAAGGACATCATGCTTAGTAAAGTAGAGGGTCAATTAAAAAGAGGAAGCCCCTCAACAAGATGAATTGACACAGTGGCTGCAACCATAGGGTCAAACAGGAACAGGTGTGTGGATGGTGCAGGACCGGACGGTGATTTCTTCTAATGCTGTGAGTTGAAACCAAATTGACAGTACCAAGCAACAACATATTATCCTTATTAAACTGCATTTCAAAATCCTTGAAGTGTTCAACTGCTTGCTTGTAACTTACTACCTTAAAATTCTGTGCTAAATTTTGTCACAAATGTAATTTCAATATTTTTAAGTTGAAATGAGTTGGGTTTTGTTTTGTCTTTTAAGTTAAAAGTATTTCTAATTATTAGATATCTGACTTTGGTAATTATGGATATTTCTGGTAAGCATTCATGTATTCTAGCACAAGTATTTTGGGTTCAGGAACAATATGAAATGTTAATGGTTACAATTATCTTTTTCTGTTGTAATCCTACAAAAATAAGCTATGTGAGTTGGAACTGATTTAACACCACCATGTTGGTAAGACTTTTGTATGGATTACAACTCAATATAAAGAAAACAAAATTTCTCACAATTGGACCAGTAAGCAGCATCATGGTAAATAGAGAAAGGATTGAAATTATCAAGAAAATCATTTTGCTTGGATCCACAATCAACACACATAAAAGCAGCAGTCAGAACCAGGTTTAGAAGTGAGTACATACATGAATAATGAAATCAGACAACATACTGCATTGGGCAAATCTGTAGTAACAGATCTTTTTAAAGTGGTATGAAGTCAAGATGCCACTTTGAGAACTAACATGCCCCTAATTCAAGCGAGGGTATTTTCAGTCACCTCATATGCATGCAAAAGCTAGACTTAATGATTTGAATGCATTTGAATTATGGTTTTGGTGAACAATATTGAATATTGGACTGCTAGGAGGAGGAGCTGGTAGCGTAGTGGTTACGAATTGGGTTGCAAACCTCAGGGTCAGCAGTTCGAAACTATCAGCTGCTCTGTGGGAGAAAGATGAGGCTTTCTGCTCCCGTAAAGATTTACAGTCTTGGAAAACCCTGTACAGGGTTGCTATGAGTTGGAACCGACTCCACAGCACATAACAACAACAACAACAAGGAGGAGAGCAAATCTGATTTGGAAAAAGTACAGCCAATATGTACCTTAGAAGCATGGGTGATATGTGTCCATCTCACATACTTTGGACACGTTCTCAGGAGGACATTATGCTGGTAAAATAGAGGGTTATCTAAAAGGAGCAAGACCTCCAACAAGACGGATTTACACAGTGGCTTCAACAGTGGACTCAAAGACAGGAATGATTGTAAAGATGGTGCGGATTGGACAGTGTCTCCTTCTGTTATACATAGGGTGCTGTGAGTTGAAATTGACACTATATTGCACCTAACTAACACTGACATATTGAAACATCAGACTACAGGACAAATGTTTGATATTTCCTGTTTCGTATCTTTGCATATGGAATTTTAGTTTTGTTTTTTTATCTAGTAAACAAATTCTCATGTTTCATATTGTTTTCACATTTCAGGTCACATACACATGAAAACAGTGGAAAGTTAATCCCTGCATCCAGTCCACATATACGCAAGGACCACTTAGCAAGAGAGCATATCCATCAGTCAAGTGAACAGAAGCATGAAAAATCAAATGAATATAAATTTTCTGAGTGGCTTAATATGGAAACTTCTGAGAGAACAGGTTTGCCTTTTCATGTTGGTGACAATTCTGCCTCTGGAAAGAAAATGAACAATAATGAAATTATTTCATCTCCATTGCAGTCGTCAAACATGAGAGCTGTTGGGTTAAAGCCAGAAGCTGCTTCCACCAGCCAACAGCAAAATATGATGGAACAATGTTACTCTGAGAACTCATTATCCAGGGAGCATATAATTCAGTCAGTCTGCAGATCTGATAGTTGTCAGTTGCCAAAACTTGTTTGCCAGAATATACCACCCCCTTTGCCGCCAAAGAAATACACTGTATCTAGTGTGCCACAGTCAGATAAAACGGAATCCATACCTGATGTCAAACTTACAGAGATGTTTAAAGCTAACTCTCTGAGTCTTCCAAAAAACAGTGTAAATACAGCTTCAGAACAAGGTTTAGAAGTGAGTACATACATGAATAATGAAAGACTTAAGGAAGCATTTCAAGTGAAAGAGTGTGTTGGCAACACACCAGACTGCCTGTCCAACTCTCCAACTAATGATTTTCAGGCAGTCTCAGATGCAGTTGGTGATGCATTTTGCCAACCAGAACTAGAGTCTAGTTCTATGTGTCCAAGTGAGAAAATTTCATTAACTACCTATTTTTCAGTTGATAGTTGTATGACTGATACATATAGACTGAAATACCATCAGAGACCCAAGCTCTGTTTTCCATAGAGCAGTAACTTTTTAAATGATAATTCACAATTTCAGACTGAAAGAGGCCTGGGACCTGTTACATAATAGTATTGGCTCAAGTTGTCCTGAGCAAAGATTGCAGTGTGTACATTGTTGCTAAATGATGAAACTAGCAAGCATCTGCTGCTCTGAGGCCATTAAAATATGAGCAGTAGGAACCCACTGGCCATAACTATGTGTGTATATATAAATTACATATACACCAACTCCTTACTTACCAACATGGTTCGATTCCAAAGATTAGGCCATTATGTGAAAATGGAGAATGAGTAGTAAGTACATCATTACATAACTGCCAGATTTCATCATAAGTGCCAAGCCACTGAGAATCATGGCCCAGCAGAGTTGGCACCTAACCTTAACCATCACAGCCAGCATTACTCTCACCCTGCACTGCAGGTTACTGCCAAGATGTACATCGTAATGCGCAAAATAGTTGGATAGTAGATTGTTTACTATTATCATATATATGAAGTGTTGGGTAACAAGATAGTTAATGACTATATTTTTTTGTATGATGATCAATTTATTGAATACTTTAGAAGCTCCCTTCAGTAGATTTGCATGCATTGACAAATAGAAAATCAGGGTACTCAAGTCATTTACCATAGGCTGCCGCCGAATGAAAATTAGTTTCTCTATTATGTGGCTAATACTGATAAGTAATAAACTAATCTATTACCATGTAACTATGCTAACTGAAAACTAGCAGGTTAATTAATACATTGTCTAATCAAAAGATTATTTGCTTTATGAAGAAGCACTTTCTAATGGGTAACCAAGAAGGCTTCACCCATTTGTTTTTGACTTCTGTGATAGTCTACTACATATGATCCCTTTAAGTGTCTTAAAAATAAATAGCCCATGAACTATGTAGCATTTATGGGGTTAGGGGAGAGAAATGCCTTCATGATTAGCAGTTTTTAAATTCTCAAGGTCAGAACAGAAGAAACTTAATTTTACTCATTGAACGTTTTTTCTCCAGAATGCCAGCTAACATACATTGGTTAGTGTATGTATTCATAAAAATTACTTCAGTCATGTAAGCTAAAAATGATTAAAATATTATAGTATGTTATTTATCATGTTATATTGTTTCTAATTTTATATGAATGTGAAAGGTTTTTATTTTGGTTTGGTTTACTTTGGGCTGCTAATTACCAGTGTCAGTAATTAATGTCACTGAGACTCCCTGTAATTTCCTTGTTAGTCTTACTTGATTGTATAGCTTGTCAACCCAATTTATTGATTTTCATATTCTTGAATCTACAAATCTGAGTTTCCATATTAAATTTCTATCATTCACCTAGAGGGTTTAATTTTAAGGAGTTGTCTTAGTGTTTCTCCCTTTTTTCGACTCTAAAGAACCAGTTAATTTTAGTACAATTACTTTTGTCATCATTTGCCATTTTCTTCTATACTAAGCTGGTTTACAAGTTTTAGATTTCCACTCTAGAGAAATAAGTATTTTCGTGGCATTCAGGTATGGATAAACTTCAGATATAATTGAATAATACTATAAACTAATTAGTAAACTTTATATTTTGATTATTTCTGTTAATGATTAAAAACGAATACTTTTTGTTAAATAGCAAATATTGGCTTGTAGAAATTTGACATCACCCAGTTACCAAACTCTTGGCTAAATTTTGCCTTCCACTGGTAGAGAATTTAAAAATTTTTAATGAGCTTTTCTAGTAATAGGGGATTATACTTTGTATTCCATTAATCTAGAAATACTTAAATACTAAATATTTATTTTATCCTTTAAGAAAGCATATTTTTAACATAACTTTTAGTATGGAAGGTTGTAAATATTGTAATATTTGTAAAGTTATATTTGAATATTTAATTCTTGCTTTTATAAAATTGTAAAAAATTACATAAGTATTTTAATAGCTTGCAGAAATGTTGCATAAATTTCTATTTGTTCAATGTGTAGTTGAATATATTATTTGAAACATTCAAATTGATATTTTAACAGTAATCTCACAGATTCATCTTTTCAATTCAAAATTGAAATTATGAACATCTAAAAGTAATCTCCATTATGGGCTCATTTAAAGTACTGTCTAGATGATACCTATTAATTATGTAATAGTACTAAACTAGAAATTGACCATTTGTTTTTATGTTGATTCAATACTCCAAATATAGATTGAATACATATTTACTACTAATCATTCACATGTACAGTTCTGACTTCTAAGGTGCCTATTTTTATAAACGTTTCCATCTAGTTATAACCTTGTCATGAGAACTTTTGAAATTATGTACCAACAATTGCTCAGAATATATTTTCATGTAAAATCAATTTCTTCTGTTTCAAAAAAACTAAGATAAACATTTTTAAGTTAATATTGTTGTACTTTTCTTTGAGCTCATATAATGTGTCCTCTAAGCGTTTCAACAAGGATTATTTATGTACTCTAATGGGAAAAAAGTCCATGGAAATTTAAGGGCACATGTGTAATTTCACTTATTATAAATTAGCATAGGAGGCTCCTACTAGTTAAAACTCCAGTAAAGTCTAATCTAATCTAGAGCAACTTTTTCTGTAAAGGAATGGATGTAGTACTTTAGGCTTTTGGGGCCATAAGGTCTCTGAAACAAGTACTCAAATCTGCCTCTGAAATGTGACAGTAACCGTAATGCATAAATGCATTCATTTATAGTTTGTGTTCCAATAAAGCTAATTTATGGATAGATGTTTGAATTTTATATAACTTCCATGTGCCATAAAATATTTTCTTTTCCAATCATTTTTAAAATGTAAAGCCATCCTTACCTTGCAGGCTATACAAAAATAGGGCACTGAGCCAGATCTGGCCTGGTGGGCCATAGCACTTGACTCTTGTTGTAGAGTATACTGTGAAGTACTCACTGACCTTTAATACCCTAGTCCCATGCCACTTGCAGCTAGTTTTTAATTAACTGGTCTAGTTATATTGTGTTTTTCATCCTAAAAGTTTCAAAGTACCAGGCCCTTAAAAATCTCATCACTGTTAATATGAAGCCAGTTCATCTCTATTTCATATACATGAAATTAAGTATATCACATAAAATCACATTTTTTAAAAAATTGTATTTGTTGTAACACATTTCCTAACTTTTTTTGGTGTCCCATTTATTTACTTCTAAAAACCTTCAAGTGTGGGCACTAAACAGGCACTATGGAGTCCTGGTGTAGAGCTGTAGGATAAGCGCTGGACTGCTAACCATAAGGTTGGCAATTCAAACCTTCCAGCTGCTCTTTAGAAACCGTCTAACAGGGTCTCTGTGAGTTGGAACTGACTTCATGGCACTTAACATTCTTGAAATGGCATAGTACTTTAGGAAGTATAATTTCTTAGCTGTATTCATTATCTGCAGGAAATATGCAAATCCCTTATTTCCAGTCATGACCATATTTTTACACTATAGTAGAAATTTTGCACAATATTTGAGAGTTATGGCATTAGGATGATTTTAGGTTCTGAAAGTTGTAGGAAGTCTTTGTGTGGCCTGGCACTGAGTTATATGAGAATTGTTATGAACTGGCCTAAGTTCGTTTGGTCATGCATAACTGTTCAGTTCTTTAAGGTAATAGTAGCTGATAACAGTTGTAGGTAGGCAGGTGATCCCATTGTCATCAGTTCCAACTCTGAGGGACCCATAGTAATATGGGTCTAATTCTTCACTACCAGGTACTTTTTTATAATAAAAATATGTCAGATCAAATGCAACCACACAGGTAAATACTCATTAACATTTTCAGCAAGCAGAACAAAAATGGCTGCACAACCTTACTTGGTGGTTGTTGGTTGCCATCCATTAGTTCCAATACAACAGCAACAGACTGTATAACAGAACAAAACACCACCTAGTCCTGTGCTGTCCTCAGTCATTGCTGTGTTTGAGCCCATTGTTGTAACTACTGTGTCAGTCCATCTCCCTGAAGGTCTTCCTCTTTTCTGTCGATCCCCTACCAAGCATGGTAGCATTCTCCATAGATGAGTCCCTCTGATAACATGCCCAAAATACATGAGACGAAGTCTTTCTTTCCATCCTCACTACTAAGTAACATTCTTGCTGTACTTCTTCGAAGACATACTGTTCATTCATTCTAGCATTCCATGGTTAACTTAATATTCTACACCCACACCACAATGCAAAGGCATAAAATCAGGCTTTGGTCATAAACATCTTTAATGCAACCATAATAATAAAAAAGTTCTCAATGGTTTAAAAGGAAAGCGGCAGCTTTTGGGTAAGAGAGCACACATGTGCTTTCTCTAAATCTGTATCCATTAACCATAACAGTCTTGCTTAATCTAGAGAATAAACTTGCAGCCAATTCATTGTGGACTTACGTTTTCTCTAAAGCTTTTTTTTATTTATAGCCAGCCTCTTAATGTAATTTTTAAATACGTTGGTAACCTTCTCTCAAACTCCTTTCCTTTTCAGTAATTTACTTTTGATTTTATAAATAACTTATTTATTTCACCAAGATATTTGCATACTGCACAGTTGTTACTTATCGGGCTGCTAACCTCAAGGTCGGCAGTTTGAAACTACCAGCGGTTCCACGGGAGAAAGATGAGGCGGTCTGCTCCCATAAAGATTTTCAGCCTCAGAAGTCTTATGTGGGGTCACTATGAGTTGGAACCCACTCCACGGTACTTAACAACAACATTTGTAAATGGAGTCCTGGTGTGGCACTGTGGGTTAATGCTCTGGACTGTGGGTTAATGCAAAGTCGGTGTGAACCGCAAGGTCAGTTACTAGAATTCACCAGTCACTCCTCGGAAACCCTATGCAGGGTTGCTATGGGTCAGAACCAACTCGACAGCACTTAACAATTTTTAAATAGTTACATCATGCTGGTACCCTAGTCAACCTTTAAAATATTACACAAAGTACACTGACTATATTTATTAGTAAATACACCAAAAATCCTTAAATACAAATACTTTTATATTCAACCCCTATAAAGCCATCTGGTATTTGCAAAGTTTTCAAGCATGAACAAAAAAGTCTAGAATTTAGTTATAATGGGTGAGATCACTCCCCACTTAACTTAGTCCCTAAATGGATAGCAGAATATATAACAGGAAATGAAGATCCCTTAGGGGTTTGAAAGTCTCCTGCTGCACATTCCTATCTTCTTTCTTCAAGATCTCTGATGTCATTTTCAGAAGCCAATCCAGAAGTCAACTTCGTGATTTAGATGCCAAGCAGGCCAATCTGTAAAACCCAAATATTTGTCAGCAATGTTTCCTTTTCCTTCCCTTGACTTTAAGTCAGTTTTTGAAATCTTGGTTGTTTGAGTCACTTGCCTATTACCAAATGACTTACATATTGATAAAAGAAACGCCTACACGATTACTCATAAGGTGTCCATTTTCTACCCCAAATTAAAAAGTAAGGTCCTTTATTTATACATACTAGAGGTAGCAGTCACTACCAAAAAAAAAAAAAAGGGGGCTCCCCAAGGGAGAAATTGAAACTTTCCCTTTCAAATGGCTTCCCTCAGAATTTTATAAAAATGCCCACCCTTCCCATTCAACCCTCTGCTTTCTGCTTTGTAACCTGCCACATCAATCAAGATCACAGAGAAGAAAACCTGAAATACAATAAGCTTACGCCTAAACATTTGCCAAAATTGGGGGAGGGAAAATAAGAAGGTAGTCATAGCCTATCAAGAAGTGCACAATTCAGCAGTCAAAACTCCAAAATACATGGAGACATGGTACTCAGAAACATAAGTGATAGTGACCAACTCTAGCTGTTTAATGTCAAAACGGGTTTCATTGCTTTCCTCCTGCTTTATTTTACGGCTTAGCTTCCTCAACTGTACATTTTCCCTTATTACCTCAGTTGTGTTTCCCTCGTTTCATGTTCCCTTCCTTTGTGTCCTATAGTTGCCGTTTCAGAATGGTAATAAAAATGGATTTAAGGCATATTTTCCAGTGGAATTTACAGAATTTCGTGGCTTGTTGGTGTTTGGGGATGTATAGGGTGAAAGGGTCAAGTCAGAATCTCAGAGCACTGACAGGAGTACCTAGGTAGATAAAGTTGTCATTTAGCGATATGGAGCACTGAAAGTACATTTGGTAAGAAGTTGTGTTTGGGACAGATTCAGTTTTAGAGACCTTCCTGGCCTGCTCACGGTCAAACAGTTAGCTTTCGTTTAGCAGGTACTGCTAAAGATGTCCGCATGCAAATCACTTTGATCACTGGAGTCCTTTTTTCATCACACCCCCTGGACCTGGTTTCAGTCTCAATAGTAGATGAGGAAACGAAACTTTCCCAGTTCCCTAGCTCAGGAATTCAAAATGAGAAAAACGAAGTCACGTATCCTCACAACCCTTTAAGGATCCCCACTGAAGTGCCGGGAGAGGACAACTCAGTCTAGTCTTCATCTCAGCTCTCCCACCACGTCACTGTGCGACCTTCGATATCGTATACAAACTCTGGAATTAAGTTCCCACCCCACCGCCAAAAATGATGTAGATGGTTTCCATGTCCCTTTCTACCTCAGTAAGCTATACACTCCATTCAGAATACTCACCAGGGCATAAAATACACAACTAAAAACAACACCAGGTCGAGGGCGATGAAGAACCAGAGGTCTAACCAGTAGGAGTGTTTTGGAATCATGGGCTGAGACCGTTCATCTGGGTTTTGCTCCTGCCTCCCAGCCTCCTTCAAGTCTCGCCGCTCCCGAAGCCTGTCCCGACCACCTACAGCATCCGCACCCCTGTCCATCTCTACCCAGCCGGCACACCGAAATGAAATTAACTAGAACCACTATCCGTACTTCCGCGTGGGCCGCGCCGGAAGCTCGAAGGTGTCCGCCTGCCTGCGCAGTGGGCTGCTCCTCTCGTTCCCGGAACTAGGCTCTGTGCACGCCCATCCCAGAGCACTGGCCACGCCCACAGACCTCTGCCTGCGTGACAGCCAGCAGGTGGGATCACTTCCACCTGGAGGAACTACTGGCGAGTACACCCACTGCAGTGCAGCGCCGCTCCGCATACATCCTGCTGGTTTTTCCGGTCGCACAGGATCACTGTCTTCTCGTGGGTCACAAATCATCATGCCCCATTCTTGTCAGGATGTACTTCACCTTTGTTAATGCTGTTACAGTTTGGTGCCATCCAGTCCAGTTCTGTCAGCTTCAACTCATAGCCACGCGATGTACAACAGAAGGAAACACTGCCCGGCCTGTTCCAACCTCACAATGGCCGTTTCGTTGAAGCTCATTTTTGCAGCCACTGTGTCTATCCATGACGTTGGGGGTTGGGGTGAAGCAGTCATCCATCTTTTTCTGTGACTCTCTGGTAGCGTAGTGGTTACGAATCCGGCTGCAAACCTCAGGGTCAGCAGTTTAAAACTACCAGCTGTTCCGCGGGAGAAAGATGAGGCTTTCTGATCCTGTAGATTTACAGCCTCGGAAACCCTGTACAGGGTCACTATCAGTCAGAATCGACTCCATAGCACGTAACAACTACTTGACAAAGCATGATGCACTTTTTCATGCTGATCACATGTCCAAAATACGCGAGCCATGTCTTTCCATCTTCTAGGAGCATTCTGACTATTTTTTCCAAGACCAGTTTGTTTTTCTGACAGCCATTGATAATCTTAATATTCTTCACCAACACCATAATTCATTTTTTTTTCTGTCTTCCTTATTCAAGGTCCAGCTTTCATGTGCTTATGAGGCAATGGAAAATACTCTGGTTTGGGTCACGCACACCTTAGTCCTCAAATTGACACCTTCAACACTTTAAACAGATCTTTTGCAGCAGATTTGTCCAATGTAATATTTCCTTTATTTCTTGACTGCTGTTTCCATGATCGTTGATTGTGGAATCCAAATAAAATGAAATTCTTGACAAATTCTGTATATTCTTTGTTTATCATGATGTTGTTTATTGGCCCAGTTGTAAGACTGTTCTCTTTACATTAAGTTACAATCCATACTAAAAAGGCTGTATTCTTATATCTTCATCCAAAAAAAAAGTGTTTTAAGTCCTCTTTGCTTTCAGACAGCACTGCTCTATTATTTGCATATCACAGGTTGTTAATGAGCCCTCCTCCAATCCTGATTCTGAATTCAGCTTCTTACACTGTTTACTCAGCATGCGTTGAATAAATGTGACCAGGAATAAAACCTTGATAAAAACCTTTCCTGATTTTAAACTATAAGTATCCTCTTATTCTGCTCTATATACAGGTTCCTCATGAGCACAAGTAACCGTTCTAGAATTCCCATTCTTTACCCAGAGTTTGTTATGATCCACACAGTCTTTGCATAGTCAGTAAAACATAAATAAACATCTTTCTTGTCTCATCTTTCCACCACTATCCTTCTGACATCAACAGTGATGCTCCTCTTTTGAATCCACCTTGAATTTCTGGCAACTCCCTATTATTGTACTACTGTAACCATTTTTAAATTAGCTTCAGTGAAATTTTACTTGCATGTGATATTAATTACACAATGGAAAATATTTAGATCACCTTTCTTCAAAATGGGCCCAAATATGAATGTCTCCAATCAGTCTTCTAGATTTCTTAGCATAGACTAGTGAGCGCTTCCAACACTGCATCAGTTTGTTGAAACATTTTAGTGGCATTTCATCAATTCCCAGAGCCATGTTTTTCACCAATGCCTTCAGTGAAATTTGGACTTCTTCCTTCAATACCATTGGCTTCTGATCATATGCTACCCCTTGAAATGGTTGAATGTTGATCAGCTCTTTTTGGTACAGTGACTGTACCTTTCTTTCATCTTTTTTTGTCATTGTGAATTGGGGGAAGGTTTACAGAGCAGGTCATCAGTTTCACAATCAACAATTCTTACACAATTGTTTCATGTCATTGATTGCAATCTCCTTAATGTAACATCACCTATCTCAGTTCTTCCTATGTTTCCTTTCCATTCCTCCTTCTTTCCTAACCCTTCTGAACTTTGTCCTTGGGTAAATGGTTTGTCCTTTTGATCCCAAATGGTTGATTATTCTAAGGTGTGCATAAGTCACTAGTGTTATTGTTCCCCTTATTGACCTATTGTTTAGCTGGAAATTGAGTCATGAGGGTGAGTGCTGTTCCAGATCTGAAGCATGACCAAGGGCCATAGTCTTGCAGTTCCACCAGTCTCTACCTGACCAGTAAGCCCAGTCTTAAAATTTTCAGTTTTGTTCTACATTTTCCTCTCACACTATCCAGGATCTTATGTGATCCCTTTCAGAGCAGTTGGTAGTGATAACTGGGCATCATCTAGTTCTTCTGATTATAGGCTCATGGAGACTGATGTTTGAATGTCCATTAGTCATTTGGCTAATTGTTTCCATGTGTCTTCTATTTTCATCACTATTCTTCACTTTAGTTAAGGAGAGACCAATAATTGCACCTTAGGTGGCTTCTCTTGCATTTTTAAGACCCCAGTTGATATTCAACCAAAGTAGAATTTAGAACACTGTCTTTGTGGACTATGTTATGCCAATTGACCTTGGTGTCCCCTGAGACTATGGTCCTGGGTCCCTAGGGCCAGTGACTCATTCTTTCAAAGCATTTGCTTATTCTAAGAAGTTTTCATAACTTTGCCCCCTGTATGCTTTTTCACATTCATGGATATATTAGCAGCAAAGGTACAAACACTTTTTATCAAATCTTTACTTATTTGTCTTCCATATTCTTTTGATGCTTCCTGTAATGTTCAATATTTTGCCAAAATAATTTAATTGCAACTTGAGGTTTGAAATTTTTGTTCTGTCTTTCAGCTTGAGAAACGCTGAGGGTGTTCTTTGAGTTTTCTAATTCCAGGTCTTTGCACATTTCCTTATAATATTTTGCTTTTACTTCTCGAGCTGACCTTTGAATTTTTCTGTTCAGTTCTTTTGCTTCGTAAGTTTTTACACTTGCTTTAATTATTTTATGTTGAAGAGGTGCAAGAGCTGAACAGAAAATTTCAAAGATCAGCTCGAGAAGATAAAGCCAAATACTATAATAAAAT